AGCCGCTGAAAGTTGCTCCGTTCAGGCACCTTGTCGATACAGAATTGATCTAAAATTTTAGAAGTCGTAAAAAAAAAAAGCTCCTAAAACTGTTAGAGCAGTAGAAATATTTCCAAGTGTGGGCAGCAAGATAAGTGGAAGAACAACAGCTTTTGTAGAAATAATGCCTTCTTGTACAATTCCCTGCCAAACACTAAAGCTGGGAGAAGCCGATAGTGAAACTGAGCCTAAACAAGTGCGAAGCACACCCATTTTCCATCATCCAAGATGGGAGAAAGGGAAAATAGTTAGGGGTAAAAAAAACCATGGATGCGAGGTGTCTTGCTTCTGTCATCGACAGTACTATTAACAGAGGCTGAACATTGTAAAGCGGTCAGTTTTCCTCCCGAGAAGCAGATTTTCAAGAGGGACGTAAAGCTAAGATGCAGGGTACGAGACGGCCCTTCCCAGGCCGCGCAGAAAGGGGCTCTGCGAGGAGGGGACGGCTCCGTTGCCTCCTGCGTGGCCAGCACCGACTGAGGTTGTCCCCGGTCAAGTCCTTTAACCCCTCTCTCCCCGTTGTTTCCCTGACCATAAAACAGCAGTACTACCGTGGGGCACGGGTACAGCCCAAGGCTGTATTGAAGCCTGAAGGTCTCGCGCAGGCCAGGCTGCACCGGCGGCCAGGAAAGGAAAAGCGAGCGGCAAGCCCCAGTGGTTTCTTTTGTAGGTTTAATTCTGGTGGCTGCAGAGCTCTGCCCTGTGCCCGAGCGCTGGCAGCCCGCTGCTTCCGGGGAGGGGGACGGACGCGCTGGGCGCGAGTACGCAGAGCGGCTGCTCACAAACTGAAACTCCTCTTTGTGTCCTGCAGATCCTCCCTGGTCTTTACCTTGGAAACTTCATTGGTAAGCAGAGCCACGCGCCTGGACAGCCGTCCTTGAGCCGGAGAGCTAAGTTTGCCCCCGGCGCGCTGTTCCCTGCTGCGAGGGAGCTCTCCCCCACCCCCCCGCGCTCTCCCTGCCTGTGCTTCCAGGTGGGCTGCCGCAGGGACCAGCCGCAGGCGCTCTGCTTCTGCAGGGCTCGTCCCAGCCCCAGGGGCTCTTCTGGGGGCACGTGGAAGCAATTCTGCTGCTGCTAGTTCACAGATTAAAAAGCGCTCTCCATCCCGACGTCGCAGTTCACTCGAGCAGTGCTCAGGGTGTCCCTTTGGCTGGCAGGGAGGGATCAGCTCCTCCCGCGGGAGAGCCATCCTCTGCCTCCCCAAGCCCCATCCCAGCTGGGCTATCCTTCCTCCCCCTCCTCCTGCCCTGGCTGCACTGAAAGGACCCAGGGAGGGTGGGAGCCAGCAGAAGAGGAAGTAGCAGCAGGCCAGGTCTAAATAGATGCAGGTGCTGAGCCTTTAGGCTAAATAGCACAGAGGGAAACACCAACAACACGGTGCTAATTCAGGGTGTGATGGGGCCACATCATCCTGTAATGAGGTTTCCTAATTGCACGCAATGCAAGGACTGATTTTTCCTGGCTGAATCTCTCAGTACTGCAGAACGACCCATGCAGCATGCTGTCGAGGCATCGCAGTGTCCCTGCCTGTCACCCCAGTCGTGGGTGAGGGTGGTTTGGTTACCCCGCGTGCTGGCAGCTCCCTGCCTGCAGCAGGCAAATGGTGCCAAGCGTCCCGCCAGCTCCCACAAAACGCTTCCTCTGTGCTGGCCAAGCGGGGTTTGTGTCGCAACAGCGGCGGAGCGGCTGAGCGACTGCAAGCAGAGGCGCTGGGAGGGAAATGCAAGGCAGCAGTTCTCTGCCTTCCCTTTGATTTGCTTGTTTCTCTTTAATGGCTTCCCTAATTCCTGAGATCTCCAGAAATGCAGATGGTCGAGTTTTTTTTGCTGCCGCTGAGCCAGGCAGCCAGGGCGGGCCGGGCTGCGGGGAGAGGGGCTGCCGCCTGGGCATGCGGCATGGACCCTGCACACACCTTCTGTTCTAGGAGAGAGCTTCTGAGTCACTCCTTCTTACGCCAATTCACTATTTTAATGGGTTTTCATTGTCAGGGACAATTCGTGACTAAGTACTAGCATCTGCCATGAAAAAACAGCATGTACCAGAGTTCCTGCCTCCCAAAACAGTTCTTTGACAGTTTGATTCCTGCTATAAGTGCTGAGAACTTTAAAAAGAAAACACTGACATGAATTGCTAAAAAGATGTCATTGAAAATAGTGTCTGTAGCCCTGGCTGGTGAGAGCCCTGGCCAGAACACCCTCCTTGCTCCTTAGCTCCCAAAGGGATGTTTTCCTGAGTTCGGGCAGGGGGGCTGCTTCTGGCTTCACACTCTTGGGAAGCTCTTAGCACGAGGGCAGCCAGGACACCCGGACCCCAGGTTGGTCACGAAGGTTATTGCAAGTGACCGACTGCGTCTGGTCTTGGACTGATGCCACGGAAGCGTTGCTCTACCAAGAAACGCAGGGTGCTGACAGAGATTTAAGGCCTGCTAAATTAAGCTCTGACAGCTCACAGAGACATTTGCTTCGGCTGAAAGCACTTCCCAGCCGTAGTAAGCCTTTACAACCATGTCACTCTAATTTCTGTCATTCTGCCTGTCAGACACAGGCGGAAAGGTGCTGGGAGATGTACCAATCCATGGACGGAGGGGTCCTTGCCACCTCCCTCTCTCCTCCATACGGACACGCACGACACATGAACTCTAATGTGAAACGTGGCTCTTGAGACTCACTTCCATTAAATATTCATATCGTGCCATTAGCACATCGTGGTTTAGATTCACAAGCCAAGGTTTTATACCACGTGGAAGTTTAGAGACCCAAAGCTATATGAGAGGAGAAAACATTAGTGCTCATCTCTAGCAGCTTGTGCAATATCAGCTGGTAATGTGATAAAAGGAACACTGCTACAAAGCTGCTTAGCCAGCAAAATGAACACGCTCCCCTCCCAGCGTAACAGCCAGTGACCAGAATCACAACCAGAGGATGCTGAAGCATTAGTGAAAAGTAGGTTGTTTCTTCAGAAAGTTGAGGATATCTGATTTCCATACCTGCAATTTCAGAGAGGATAATGCAAAGAAGTGTGGCAAATTGCAGTGCAGCTGTTTTCTGCAGGCACTCCAGATATTAACAAGGAAATCAGGCAAGTTAAACCAAATTCAGAGCGGACATGGAAGGCTGCAGCTGCACTTCTGTAGTTTATAAGATAAAGCAAATCATTTAGGCTGCAATAATTCACATTACTATTTATTACTCTTGCATGGGAGAGGTGCAGGCGGAGAGCATATTCTTTCCTTTGTAAGCTGGGAAACAAGTAGAGGCAAGTGCAAACATGCCTGCTTGCAAATGAGTATGTTTTTCTATGCAGATGTGACTTTTCATCTTGCACGCAAGCAGCAAGGTCAAGTGCCTTTGGAGGGAATAGGTCTCTGTTTTGGTATCATGTGGGTTTGTGTTCCCAGATTTCCAGGATGCATTTGCGTATTTGCCTGTGTCTGCTCCACTACCAAGTGCGTAGATGCACCCGGGGTGGTGCAGAATGCAGCTGTTTCTCTGGAGCAAAGCTCTGCATGCTTGTTTGTCTGCAGGAGAGCAGCAGATGTACCGGTGGGAAGAGAAGGGTAAGAAATAAGTATGTACTAAAATCTAGTTGTGTCCTTCTTTAGATGCCAAAGACCTGGAGCAGCTCAGCCGGAACAAGATCACCCACATTGTTTCAATCCATGAATCTCCACAGCCTTTGCTGCAGGTAGGGTCCCCTGACCCTGACATCACCGTGCAGATTTCGGCAACTCCTTCCACTCTGCAACATCTTCTCCCCTTCCCGAGCATCCCCACAGCGGGCACACCTCTCCCCACTCCCCCGTCGGCAGTCCGGAGGAGCTAGGCAGCCCCTCTGCCCTGGATACTGGCCTTCTTGTAAATGTAACCTGGCCTTGAATCTGGCTAGAAACAATTTCCAGATCCCCAGCTTCGTCTTGTTTTTCCACCCCCTCACACGAGCTATCTGTTCACCTATTGCCCTCCTTGATGTGTGTGCCAAGGCGGACAGCAGACACGTCTCCTTGGCCTCCGCCAGCCTTCTCAGTGCAGAGCGCGGTTGTACTTGTGAGAACGAAGCCCCGGAGGGAGCGCCGGGGGCCAGCAGGGAGCCAAGACGAGAGCGCTGCCAGGCCAGCTGTGCACAGCCCATGAGACGGCCGGACCGCGGCTCCCAAGCCCTGAGCTTGTGTTCCTTTTGTGCCTTTCAGGAAATCACCTACCTCCGTATCCCTCTGGCAGACACACCTGAGGCCAACATGTGAGTACCCCGCCGCGGCCGGTGTGCTCCTGCACGGCTTTGGGGCACAGGGCAGGGCACATCTTTGCAGGGTGATGAGCAGGGAGGACTCGCAGTACTCCCGAGACCTTGACACTGTGTCCAGCTCCTGAGTAGCCCGCAGGCAGCCCCTCCGCAGCACAGCGTTGGCTCAAACCAGGAGGGAGCATCCCACCCCGAGAGCCCGTGGAGGCTGCCCTGAGGGCAAGGAGCAGAGCAGGCAGAAAACACCCGGCGCGGGACCGCTGTCTGCGCAGCTCTGGGCTTCTCTGCCCTGGCAGGGTGGGCAGCAGAGCCCTCGCGAGGCCATACGGCTCCCTCTGCCCCAGCGCGCGTCAAGGGAGATTTACAGGGCAGCCGTGCAGCCCCCACCCCGTGCAGCCCTTGCCACCCTCGCCACAGCTGCGTGGCTTCGCCCCCTCCAGTCCTCAGCAGAGCACGCTGCCCCCTTGGCAAGCCAGAGCACTGAGCTGCTCAGGTCTCCGCAGCTGCTCCTGGCAGCTGTAGCGCAGCAGTTTATTTTAGTGCTTTGTCCTCAGGGCTGTACCAACCACTGGCCCGTTGTAAAAGCCCTGTTCCTCAACCTGCAGACCTTACTCTGTTTTATTTTTCCTGATAGCAAGAAGCACTTCAAAGAATGCATCAGTTTTATCCACCAGTGTCGCCTGCATGGAGGGAACTGCCTTGTCCACTGGTAAAACGCCTTTCCCCGTGCCCGGTGCCGCATATTCCCTAGGGCAGCACAACAGGGTCCAAAGAAAAGGTGCAGCCTCCAGAACCCCCCTGCTTCAGCTACAGGTCCCCAGTCAAAGCGGGTGTGCTCCAGAGGGACCCCTCATCGATGACTCTGCTCAGGACCCACAGTGGGGATCGACTGTGGCTCGTGCCTCAAACTGATCAGGATTTAAGGATTCCTTTTTGGGCCAGAGAACCGTTTGCCCTGGAGACAGGGCAGCTTTTTGCTTCAGCCCGGCAAGTGGGAAGAGAACAGTTTAGGGGCAGGGATCCAGCCAGTGGCTGATGCTTTCACTTCCCCTGGGGAGAAGGGTGTATTTATAGGCACCAATTGAGAGGACCTTGGAAGGGCTTCGGCTTCCCAGAGAGCAAGTTCCCTGAGAAGAGGAACTGAAATAGCTGGAGCAGAAGGGGCGGAGGAAGGGGTCAGGGCAGCAGCATAGGGGGTGCACCGCAGGCAACGCCTTTGCTCTCTTCCCCTTGCCAGTCTCGCAGGGATCTCCCGGAGCACTACTATCGTGGCTGCCTACGTTATGGCCGTGACAGAGCTGAGCTGCCAGGAGGTGCTCGAGGCCATCAAAACGGTTCGACCCATTGCCAACCCCAACCCTGGCTTCAGACAGCAGCTGGATGAGTTTGGCCACGGTGCAGCCCGGAAGGTGGGCGCGTGAGGGGGACCCTGCCTCTGCCACCCCTGCAGCCCTGCTGGCCTATTACGCTTCCTCGGTGGCTGGTGGCTGCTCACAGGCCTCTTGGAGCAAGGGCAAAGCCCAAGGAGGACCAGGTTGCTCCCAGCTCCCCTTGCTTGTGCTGCTGTCCACTGCAGGAGTGGAGTCTTGCCTAGACCCCCAGCACCAGCTCTCCTGGGTGTTGCCAGCTGGGCACGAGGCGGCTCCTTGTGTTTGCTGAGTCAGGCTTCCTCAGCTTGTGTAAGTTGGGGTCCAGCACTGACTGAGCGGAGTTACAGGCTCGCACCATCTGGAGATGTGGTTCATCACTGCTGCAGTCGGGGGGAGGTTAGGAGGCCCCACCTAGGGAGGCAAATAAGTGCTTGTGCATCCCAGGCTCAGGTTTGGACTTGCACTGTGACGAGCACATCAGTTTGCTCCTCCCTTCTTTCCCAGGTCCGTAGGCAGCTGAAGCAGAGGTATGGGGCAATCCCTTTCAACGATGAGGAAGAAATAAAGGCCCTGCTGCCTGCAGAGAGAGGAGGACCGTCCAGAACCGAGGGAGCTCTGCAGGGACTGATGCCAAGAGCCAGAGACATCAAGAGCACAGTTCCCTTTCTGCTGCGGGTGAAGAGGACATTCTCCTGCATCCCTGCTTGTCTGAAGTGATCCCAGCTGAGGGCAGAAGGGAGTAGCAAGAATCGCCTAACAGCCTGGTAAAGACTAAGGAGCAGCAACACTACTGGTCAGGAGGGGACGTGCCATCCAGGAGAGCCACAGCAAGCCCACAAGCCGGGAACTCAAGTCTTCAGCCCACTTCTTCTTTCTTTGTGGGTTCGATCATGTCATCTTCTGCCCTGGCTTTCATCCCTCACAGGAGGGATTCATTTATGCTGCTGTGCTCTGCAGACCACTATAGGATTAATCAGCTGGTGGTGTCATATTTAGGGGACTGGCAAAAGGGCAGAGGGCGGTGTGCTGGGTTACTGCGGGCTCTCGCTCTGGGCAGTGCAACAGATGGGGCTTTTCCTGCCATGGTATCGGCACCCAGATTGCTGCTGAAGCGGCTGGTAGCAGTTCAGTACCTGCTGCACAGGCTGCAGGAGGTACACGCCATGGTACAGCTCGCTCTCGCCTTAGACGGTACAATTTTTCCAGTGGCAGCAGGTTTCCAGAGCTGAGGTGAGCGGGGACACACAGGTGCATTACCCATTAACTCTGCTGTGCTGGCTCCCACCACGCACAGGTCCAGCCCAGGCCAACCAAGCGCAAGCCCCGAGCAAGCTCAGTAGCTTTAGGAGTTGGTTGCATCCCATTCCCCCTGACCCCAGGGCAGAATCTTTAAAAGGCAGGAAATAAATGTTTAACCTGGCCAGACCCCACTAAAGCAGAGCCTTAAACCATTTTGCTTGAAGACTTTCTAGGTCCCCCTTTGTTAATAAACATCTCTCTGCAGCGTGAGGTGCCGTCTCACTTGCCTGCGCCAGCCGGGTCGCCAAGGGGGACGCGGCGGCAGGGAGGGTCCTGGTGC